GCTGGGAGGAGGCGCAGGCAGCCATAGCCGGGCTGCAGGGCGCAGGGAGGTGAGGGCGAAGGTGGTCTTCGGGAGGAGACAAAGAATGGGTGAAGACAAGGAGGAGTAGGGGAGCGAGTGAGTACTTACCTGGTGTGCGAGAGGAGGTCAGCATTGGTGTTGACGTCAAGCACGCTGGTCTTCAAGGCGAAGTCGTCCTGGTTGCTGTACGCTGGTAGACGTAGGATAGAGGTAGAGTAGGTAGGGCGCCTTGCGCCATTCAGACAGAGAGCTACACTGGATACTGTTGTTGGTGTTGCCTACGGGCGTGGACATTGACTCAAGACTCTGCTGTATTGATCTCATATGGAAGGTTTGTTGGTTCCACTGTGCTATCTGCTTATTGCTTGACTACATGGTCTTCAGCGTGATTGCAATTTTGGATTTCTGTACATCGTTCACACTCATGTTCCTTGCACTTGAGAGCCCTACTAGGGGGGTGATACGAACAGCCCTCCCTAGTAAGCCCCGCTGGTCGATGCTAGATGGAGCGACCATCAGATAGCATGTTATAAAATGGATACTCAAGAAAGATCTTGCAGCCCGATATGCCCGTGGAACAAATGCAAACAATTCCATTCAACAGGCCAAAGGCCACAAAAACAAGGAAGGAAAATGGATAGGGAAAGTATTCAGTACGAAAATGGAGAGCAAAACAAAGAATGAAAAAATCATGCAATGATCCGGCCAACCGGGATTAAGAATCTTCATCGTAGCAGTAAACAATATAAGCACAGATGCAACTTAATGACGACTTGAATGATATACACAAGTTTCTCAAGATCGCAGCTATGGCCGGCAGCACACTGACAAGCACAGCTCTCTCTCTCTCTCTCTCTCTCTCTCTCTCTCTCTCTGTGGCATACTCAGATCCCACACTGGCCCTTCACAGGGCCCGGTCCGTAGGAGTAGGGGTTAGCGGGTTAGATTAGGCCAGTAGGCCCTGGCGCGTCGGTTCATAAACACCAGGCCATTAGCACAAGGTCCCCGGTTAGAGGCCCAGGTAGGCCTGCAGTAGGGGACACGGGCCCTGGGCGCCGATTCAGGCCCTGGGCACATTTCCACCAGGCGGCACAGGCCCTGGGCGCCGTTCGTTTGGGCACCAGGCCACGGTACCGTTTGGGCGCCAGTTTTGGCGCCAGACTCTTTTTCGGGCGCCGAGCTTAGGCGCCAGGACTTCCACTCAGGTCACTTACCTGAGGCCGAACCAGCGCTATATATAGCTGGTCGGCCTCAGTTTGAGTAGGCATTCGTTGAGGCATTCGTAGGTATTGGTAAAGGTACTCTTCAGTAGCAGTAGTCGACGATAGCGGTAGGGCTTCAGCGCTAGCATAGCGCAGCAGCAGGACTTCAGCGCTAGCCAGCGCAACTGCAGTACAGCGCAGCCAGGGAGAGAGAGAGAGAGAGGGACTGGGCTATGGCGGAGGCCAGGGGACTTACCTGAGGACTCACCTGTCGGCGTCAGCGCTCCAGCTTTGCCGTCCGTGCGTCCGTACCTGCATCAAGGCGACACCTTTCGCAGGTTAGTACCTGGTGTCCAACACACACACACA